TCGGAGGCCAAGGGTATGATTATAATTTGTTAACTCGGTCTTTTATGGATTTTGGGTTTTGTTCAGGAAGTTTTAAGGCTTGGGTGTGTTGTTAGAAGTGTAGGGCTTCTCGCCACCTTTCCGTGGATATAAGGTTCGTTGGAAACGGACCTAAGATGAGGAAGTTATGGAATTTTGAAGATATTGGCAGAATTAGCCCCTAATGGAAATAATTGGCAAATTGGTCCCATGCATGCCAGGAGGGAATGCGCTTGTCTGGCTGGGTACTCCCAACGTAATGGTCAGAGTGCCACACCCTAATTTTTAGGGTTTGGGCACTATTTAATCATCTTTATAAGCTCAAGGCTCATTCCTTTCTCAGCCTCCATTGCATTCTAGTCTCATTTCGGAAACCATAATCTCATTTTGAGTATTTGAGAGATCTAAGTGTGCTTTTGTTGTGTTCTTGCTCATTTCCAAGAAAAGGGTGCTTGGTGCTAGCTTGTGGTTCAAAGGAGGAAGTCTAGATCCGGACTTTTGGCTTCATTTCCAGCTCATTCAAGGTATAAAGTTCTCATCTTGACTTTTTCTTATGCTGGTTTGACTTTAGGGCAGTATTAAGGGTTTTTATGGTGGCTTAAGTTCTCCTTGTGAGTTTGAGCCAGTCTAGGAGCTTGGAGTGATAGATCTTGCCTCTTTTGATGTTTCTAGTTCATAAAAATGCTTGCTTGATGTTTAAGAATGGTCCATGCATGTTATTGTTAGACTAGAATGGGTCTTAATGGATTAAGTTGGTTGTTGGGTACCATTGAGTCATGCAAATGCATAAAGGTGCCGACTTTATGCATCAATAGCTTTATTTTAAGGTCCTTTGAAGTTTGGGTGCAAAGTGCTTAAGTGGTTAAGCCATAAAGTCGAAATTGGGTTAAGCCATGTTACGCCCCGCATAACTGGCCGTACGCCCTATGTACCAATTTGAGATCGCGATCTACATTCCTCGAGTACGCCCAACGTAGTTGAGCGTATGCCCCGCATTCGGCGTGGAGTGGGCTTGGTGTGTTTTTGGGCTTCGCACCTTTGGTCCACCTTAGTGGACTTGTTGCTTGGGCCTTTGGGCCATCTGAGATCAGTTATTGGACTAAGGGATGTTTTGGGCTTTAGGATAAGGCCCATATGGGGGTTGGACCCAATTTGGAAAATTGGGCCATTAGTGGGCCTTTTTGGATCTTATAGTTTTTGGCTTGTTTGGTTTTGGGCTTGGGCCTCGATTGTGAATCTAGTTGGGATAGGGGTAAAATGGTCATTTTACCTCAAGTATGGATTATGGATCATAGTTTGGAATCCAATTGCTAATTGGGTGTTATTTTGGTATTGATAGCTCGGGAAGTCCTCAGGGCAGCAGCTAGGGATTTCTATCAGTGAGCTTCTGCATTTGAGGTGAGTCTCCTCACTGTTTAATGGGTCGAAGACACCAATGCCGACCCATTCGGTTTATGTATTGTCGGAAGACCCGAGGGTAACCCTTGGCAGTTTGTATGAAAGACCAGGAGGCGGTTCCTGGAAAACTGTATGCAAGACCAGAGTCTGAACTCTGGCAGTTAATTAGTTAAGTAGTGTAGATTGTATGCTAGTTGTTTTTATGATGCTTGCATAAAAGACCCGGAGGTGGCTCCTTGCACTTGGCTGTAAGACCCAGGGTTTTGGCCCCCGACCAGGCAAAGAAGACCACGAGGCGGCTCGTGGCATAATGGCAAGACTATGGTTGGCACATAACACTTTTATTGATTGATTAGTCATGTATGTCCTGTATGGCTCGTATGATATGTATGGTAAGTGGTATTTGGGGAACTCACTAACATGTGTGCTTACAGTTATGGTTTATGGTTTCAGGTACTTCCGGTTCGAAAGGGAAGGACCCGGCTTGATCGCATCACATACACATGTGTTTCCTGCAATATGTGATCTTAGGGAATGAACTTTGATAATTATTTTATTTTGAAATGCTTTTAGATGTTTGGATAAAGTTACAATAGTGTTTTTATTGTAATAAAAATGAAATTTTTACCCTTGATTTTCGGGATGATACATCATGCCCGACTGATCCTTACTTGATAGATCTTGATGTAGACATTTGGATTAGTTTGGAATCTAGATTATAATTATTATAGTCACTAGGATTACAAAGCTATACTAAGGCATAATACTTTATGCGTCTAGGTTTTTTCGAAGTACGAAGCGAAGCTCTGCCAAAATTGTTGTCATCCACTTTTATCAAGTGAGTGTATAGTTACCTTCATCTTACACATAGATATGAAGTATCTAATTAATTAATTGCTATTTGTGATGATGTGCAAAGATGTTATGTGTTAGATGAAGTATCATGAAGATAAGTTATATGATTTATACCATATATGTATTTCATAAATATAATACATTGGGTAACGAATGATTGTAATAGATGCCATAGCATGATGAAAGATGTAGGCAATTCTAGAATTCCACAACTATAGAAATGGTACTAGTGTGCCAATGATGTAGGAATGGTACTAGTGTACCAATGATGTAGTTACCTAATGATGTATAGGTGATATCCACCGGACTATTCATGACCGTCCCGAGGAACTCAGGCAGCGATGGTCTTCTATTAGATAGATTTAAACAACGATGGACCTCATGCCTATTAGATAGATTCAGGCAGTGATGAACTTTGTGCCTAATAGATAGACACAGGCAACGATGGACTTCATGCCTATTTGATGAGCACAAGTAGCGATGGACTTCTTACCTATTTGACAGTCCCGTGGAACTTAGGCAGCGATGGACTTCGTGCCTATTCCTTAGGACAAACCCTTAGGAATAAATACAGAAAGAAAACCTACTAACATGAATTGCGGGGAAATACCTGTAACAATACTGTTAGTAATGATGACAAAGATAACCCTTAGGATATATCCTTAGGGAAAAATAAATAAGAAAATGGGGTTGGGTAATCGGATTAATTGTTTGATAAATAAACATATTAATTATATTATTGTGGGTTGAAAACCCTATGTACTCACTAGGTTTCCCAACCTAACCCACTCAGTTTCTTTTTATCACATGTCGCATGCATAATGAGAGATTAAAGGAGATGTAGATTGTTAGTCTAAGATACTGTAAGACCCGTTTATTCTTATGTTTTGTATCAGTTTTGACATCCAAAGATTTTAGAAATTAATAAAAAACATTTCTTCGTAAATACTTTTAAACGACCAAATTATGGATTTTATAAAATAGCTTTGTTTTAAATAAAGCATAAACAATTTTTTTTAAAAATGGATGTGAATTTGGGGATGATACAATGTGTGTGTATGTATGTGTGTATATATATATATATATATATATATATATATATATATATATATATATATATATACAATTAACATATCCACATGTTGCAGAGGTGACGATTGGTTTCTTTTTTAAAACCAATATTAAATTATCCATAAAGTATTATATTGTTATGGTTAAAAAATATAATTACATTGATGTTTTTATTAAGAAAGCAAAAGAACATGTTACAAAAAATGGTGTTAGAATATCTAAAACTAATACTGGCTGTATGTAAACAATAATTTATATGTATTGATTATAAACTTTTTCCGCTTTCTAATGTATTTATAATTAAAACATACATATAATGAACACCACAAATTATACTTTATAATATCATAATTGTAACATTGTGTTTAATTAAAATTTTTAATTAACAATATATACCTTATATATTCCTGGTCCCCTTTATCTCCCCCACATTCTTCCCTCCATATCCCAATCCCAACACGTGAAAGCTTAGACTTCTAACATCTTTTTGTTGCTTGTATTTGTAATTAAAAATGTATATAATACATATTCCAAAATAAACTTTGATAACATTATGAACTTCTAATGTTACAAAACAAATTTACTTAAGAATAACAAAAGAGAAAACATCTTCGTGCCTTCAAGATTCTCCTCAGAAAACCATTTCTTTATTTCATCCTTTCATCAATAAGATCGAAAATTTCCAGTAAACACTCTAAGACATGTATGTCTTTTTCCTTACAAGTCCAAAGATGTCCTTTACGTATATACCAAACCTTTTTTCTTGGTTAAGTGCTTAAGCTGTGTGGTTAGGTATAGATTTTCATCAAAATTGTTGTTAATTATACCCCATACATGTAGCACTTTCTTCCTCATATCAAAATCCATGGACATATCATGCCTCACTTCTTGAATGAGATCATTTATCGATAGGATGACAATTACCGTACTTATTTCTAATATATTTTTAATTCATTTCCTTACTTATTTGTCTGCGAAGTGGCAATATATTGTGACATAGTTAACGATAAGAAAGCAAATCACTAAAGAAATAATGAAATAAAATTAATAACAAAATAAAGATTACGGTACCTTGTCAAATCTATCTTCATGATGAGTAGTATCATTTGTCAAGTCCTCGATAATTTCTTCCATTATAAAAAAAAGATGAGATCACGTTTACACTCAATTTGGAGACATTATTTAAAGGGACATTAGACTTACATGGTTTTAAATTATTATATTAACAAAACTGCTTACAATTGCTTAAAACTGCTCCATTATCAAACATGTGAATATGGTTATATTTATAACTATTCCTACTGCTGAGAAAAATAAAATGTAAAGATTCATCGACATTTCTGCAAATTGCACAACGTAATTAAATATCCATAAAACACAACTTTTCAAATTACCATAAACAAATATAAATACGAACCAGATAGCGAAATAAAATAAATAAAATAATTTTGCAACAACTTAATCAAAGAAAATATATACGAAAATTTAATAAAATATAAAAGAACATTTTTCTGGGTTTAAGTCATTTGAAGTGGAACTATATAGTATCCGATAATTATGCATTACAAGACCAACACATTACAACAGAGAGTTACATCATTATCATATGTGAAAACAACTTAAACAATATAAACTCTATTTCTAACCCTTAATTATCATCAACACATTACTGTCTTCAGAAACCCCCTCTTCTTTTTTATGTTTCTAGCCAAGATTAACATATAATCTATTAAATGTTCATTTTTTCTTCTCATTTCAGGCTTGAAAACATCCAACAGGTATTCAACATCGCATATATTCTCCGATAATTCCTCCTTCGAAACAATATCTAGAAGGATGTTGTTATTTCTCTCATCATTCATCAACCGCTTGAGAAGAACCTCCATTGTTCTCATCCGTGATTCCAAACATGCGAGGTCTTCACGAATCGTAACGATGAAATCTTCCATCAAGGCGACATCTAATGTAAGATAAGCCATTGATTTCAGATGCTAGATATCAATTTAATTCAAATTCTCCAATGATATATGTTGACTTAAAAAGGAAAAGAAGATGGTTTACAAAATAAAGGATTAGACGTCTATTTATATCCCTGAAAAGACGATTGCTGATGGCTAGCAAGTCATTCTGACATCGTTTGTTCTTCCTCAAGTCGTGCATAATACGTAAGGAACATCTTATGATATAAATGATGCATTTAAGTATTCAATACTCTAACAGACACCCCTATAATAATAACTCCGAGATCTTTCAAGAAATTACTCCATCTTTAATCCTATAAAATTCATCGTAATAGGAAAAGTTTCTCACACAACATTTTATACAAATATCATTTAAAATTAACTTCATACCACAAGATGGTGTCTTCTTCCAATGACAATAGCCCTTCAGATATCTTCTCAGAAGTAAAGATGTTCGCAATCACCAAAAGTATTGATGATCAATACTCACAACTTCACGTCCAGGCAATTAGATCAAGGCATGATAAAGCCAATGATGGTCGTCAGGAGATCGAAGACGTAACGAATCAACTGAATTGATTCACAAGGATATTGTCTGCAAATACCACTCTACGAAGATTCTGATGTAACAACAAAAGCTCAAGTATCCTGAAGACCTCCAGGACAAGATTAAAGATATAAAGAAGAAATGTAATGATATTAGTAAAGAAGATTAGATACTTTTACTTAAGTTGTCTATGTTTATTTATATAAAATTGTTTACACGTTGTCATGGGCGTATTAAGCGAATACAATTTCAGTGGCGGTTGCACAAAAAATATAGCACATGAAAGCAGGGTCGAATCCTCAGGGACACAGCCTAACGGTCAATGCTTTTTGCATCAGGCACATTCTAGTCAAAACATAAATTATTAAAGGGGGATTTGGAATTAACTAAAAAAACTAAAGTTACGGTGAAAATGGATTAAACAAAAATCAATAATAAAAACGATTTCAGTTCTGATGCGACTTTCTTAATCATGCAATCAGTTCAGATCTGGTTATTTGAGATGCGTTCAATCTAAGCTTGTACTGAGAAAAACTAACAAGCACTAGTATAATCTCTTTAACCTAAATTAGTTAACCAAAACAAGCTCTTTGAATTAACCCTAACTTTTTATTGTTCAATTAAATAAGCTCTTAATTAAATCAGAAAAACAACTTTATGATCTGTGTAAAATTCCCAGCAATACCCAATACTTCTCACAAGCTCGGAAGCGTAAATATATGATTTTTATAGTTAATATCAGAGTTAAATCCCAACACGGAATCAATTTGATACTTGTTACTTTTACCAGTTGACAAGAACAATTACGGATTCTATTAACTGATTAATTGGAATGACAAAACTCTAGCTAGGTGATCAGACTAACAAGAATTAAAAATCAAACATCCATTAAGCTCAAAGATGAAAAATCTAGATAGAATCACAAAAAGAAAACCAGATCTGAAAACTAATCACATGAAAAGTACTAGTCTATTAAGAACTGAAAACTAAGGTTTAGCCAGACATGGCTAAAAACAAACTAAAACTAGATAAAAGAAACATTAACCAAATAATCTAGATAAACTAAACGTATGAGATGATTCGCAGGTTCAGATCTTCAGAAATCATAGAAAGGTATCAGAAATCGTCTTCAGAAGTGTCTTCTGTCGTCTGGAACCGTCTAACACCTGGATCTGATAATGAGGGTCGTATTTATATGCGAGACGGAAACTTCCGGAAAAAGAAACAGAAAAATGTGATCGCAGAAGTGGAAAATGCGATCGCATATTTTCTATTTTTTTTTCCAAATTGCCCCTGAGTGATGCAGAATACTATATTCAACGTTTTCAGGACTTCAGGACAAATATGCGATCACAGAAGTGAAAAATGTGATCGCATATTTTGGTTTTTTTTCTTCAGATGACTTCCAGATGGCTTATTTCGACCCTGAAAAACTTTATGGCAAAAATGCAATTCCAGAAACAAATGCGATCACTTATGCGATCTCATTTTTGACCTATGTGATCACATTTTTGTCCTTTTTCACAAACATTAAAGTCGTCCAAAATTTTGTCTAGTTTTCAGAAAATTTTGAATCTCATCATTCGGAGTTACGAGTCATGAGATATGGTGAAAATACTGACGGGGGTTCAAAACTGCCAACAACATACTTTAGGCTTCAGATTGTAGTAATCTATCTTCGTATGATCAACTCGATCGAATGTTTCTTGACCCAAACATATCCCAAGCATTCCTCAACATCCTCCTTTAGTTCCAACTCCATGTAGGCTCCAAATAGGCATCCAACTACTCCCAAAGTACTGCTTCACTCGAACTATCTGAAATTGACACAAAAAATGCTACCAGTACGGAAATTCTGATAAAAGACATGAGCTGAACATTATTTAAACAAATGACATGCAAATGTACAAATTATGATGCTAAATGATAATAAAAACTACCCTAGAAGATTCATAAAATGGCATATATCAAAAATCGTTGTCACTTCTCTGTGTAATCGGTTATTTTTTATTGATATATGATGTTATAACTTGTTTGTCAATATTCTATATTTGGTTTTTTGCATCATATTTCAACCATAAATTCATTAACAAAACACAAACGTCAAATTCGTAAATACAAATACACAACCTTATATATGTTATATATTATAAATTTTATTTATATCGAACATGATCGTTAATTGTTTCAAGATATCAAAACCATAATATAACATCTGGATACAATTAACAACTTAGCACAAAATGCTAGGACACACTAATAGACTATATTATTTTTAAAACGTGTCATAGTATGGAAAAAAGTTTTATTGCATACAACATAGCACATCTGTGGATACAATTAACAACTTTTTATAATATCACTAATTAAATAAGTAACGTTTGTGTTTAAACTTATGAGCAATGTCAAAGAACTACCAAGATATAAAAATAACATTAAACTGATATTAATTCAACAAACATTGCAACTTAAGTAAAACACCAAACATATTGAAACTAAGAACAAATGAAAATTATAATTTATCCATCCCACAGCATGATATTCCCAATCAGACTCATCAATAACTTCCAAGCATTTTGTACGTTTTTTACAGATGACATGAGGAATTTTTATCCTTTTGTAAAACGAGAAGATGAGTCACCCTTGACCTTCAATTTCACATCAAAAGGACGACCTTCAGAACTATCATCTTCAATGTCATAATCCCATTTCAAAATTGCATCAGACCAATCACGTTTGTTATGTTTATTAATCTGAATAAGATTGCTAAATAATCACCTACTAAAGTACATAAATTAATGAAAATCAAACCAAAAATACCTCAAAGTATAATTCACTCTCAAACTCTAATTTGTAAACTTCAAAATGTCCACCATATGACATTATATCCACACTTACTACATTTGCTGGCTATAAAAACACAAAATTAAACACAAAATTAACTTCAGTTTATTGCACTCCTTCTTTAAAGTATTAAGCAGAAACTATAGTATATATTATAAAATATTAATACCAATAAGTAAAACTAATTATTATAACTAATGTTTTTAAAAGATTATAAACAATAACACCATAAACGATGAATGCATTAAATTGCTCAAAAAATTTACCTTATGAGGTCCATCATCTTCTTCTTCATGATTGCTTTTAGAACTAACATCCTGCATCAAACTAACAAATGTAAATATATGAAAAATAACACTAAGCTATTAAACCTAAAGTATACAAAAGTATTTACATTAACTTTGTCATCATGATCATTCTCTTTTTCATTCTTCTCATACGTAACCGTCTGCATCGTAGAATTATAATTATACATGTGACTAATAATATTAAACGAATGTAATAAAACATAAAAGTAACTTCAATTTAATGCACTTCGTTTTATAAGGCCTAAGCAAAGACAATGGTATATTTTACAAAAAATATTACGACCAATAAATAAAACCATTTATGCCTACAAATATTGTAAAAGTTTATAAACAATAACATCATAAATCAATTCATTAAATTGATTAAACAAAATTACCTTATGAGGTCCATCATCTTTTTGCTCATGATTGCTTTTAGAAGTAACGTCTTGCATCAAACTAACAAATGTAAAAACATGACTAATAACATTAAAGAAATATATGCAAAATAAACAAACATATTTACATTAAATTCTTCATCATGCTCTATCTCCTTTTCATTATTACTATACGTAATCATATGCATCATAGAAATACAATTATACATACTACTAATAATATTAACATCATGTGATAAAAACATAAACTAATAATACCAACATACTTTACACATAAGCGAATATTATTTCATCATATTTTAACTAAATATTAATAAAAGAATATAATACACATTAAGAACTTAAAAACGTTGATGCACATTTTAATTATTGGATCCATAAACTCTTTAATAAAAAATTAAATTTAAGGTTTTAAGTTATTACACTAATCAGAACTGAATTCATCGATACCAATTAAATAATCCACTTTAACAAACACGTGAAATATGAAAATCAATCGAAACCATTAAATTTAAAAATCAAGTAAATGATAATCAAACAAAGATAGTAAAAAGTGAATTTTGAATGAAAATAATACAACATAATACATTGGATTCCTCTTATTGTTTTTGCTGATTCTTCTGAAACAACAAAACATGCTTCATTGGTAAATAAATATAAAACACAAATTAGACAACAAATAGTGTTACCATTATCTGGAATTGAAAGAATTACCATTAAATACCAGTTTGAATTTACACATAGTGGATATGTGGGATCGTGGTCGGTTATTATAGATGAATATTAGTGATTGGTTATTATAATGGAATATCAGGAAAAAAAATAGCACGTATCTTTCAAAACGGGAACCGAAAATCACAAAAAATGACACTACGGGCAGGGGATCCGGAAAAAAGGGGAACCGGAAAAAATGGATTGTGTAACAATGGGCTATAGAAACAT